ACTGCGGGCATGAAATATGTTCATGAATTTAGTAACACTGCAGTTTGGATACCCATTTCCTTGCTTTTAACCGAAGAGGATCCACTTGGATCACTTGGATTACTTCATCCATCAATATTTGTCATACTTGTAAACCGACGTTACTGGCTGTCTGCGGCGGCCCTCTTCACTGTGACACGCTGAGGACTACCTACAAGTTAGTAATACACTACTAGCCGGTGATGGTTATTGTGAATCACTCTTGTTTTCCTTGGGATACAATATTGGATCACAGTGTGATAACCAATATTTGGACTGATCACTCGAATGTTTTGCTGATAAATCACGGTACAGTGAGGGAAGGGAGGGGGTGCGGGTTAGAAAGGGGCCAACACGCTTGACTGTGTGTGTGTGTGTGTGTGTGTGTGTGTGTGTGTGTGTGTGTGTGTGTGTGACTTTACACTAGAAAGACTAGATAATGCCAAGGTTGGTAGTGGTCGAGTGACAGGAGCACCAGTAAGTGTAAGAGTAGTGAGAATTACCCATGAAGCGACGATCATAGAATTGATAAAGTGACTGAGAGGAAGACAGGTAGGCTATTACACAGAGAATGATGCTGTGTGATCTATTAACCTTTTTGAAGAAGTGTTGTGGACATTAAGAGGGGGGACTAAGTTAATGTTGATATTTATTACTTGGCTTCAATAACTGAGGTCATTAAGCACATACTCACAGTAGGTTCATACAGTTGATAATATCTTATTAAAAATCGAGTTAGAGATAAGTAGATATAGTTGAGGCGTCAGAACTGATGCCCACTGCCGCGGTCAACCAGTTTATATATTCCTGGCCCTACCTTGCCCGACGTGACGTCACAGTCTTGAAATGAGGACTAGGACTTGGTCTTCTGTGATGTCATTCTCAGATACTATGACGAGAGAGTATAATTAAAACATTACCAACTTTTCCTTTCACATCCAGAGAGAGAGAGAGAGAGAGAGAGAGAGAGAGAGAGAGAGAGAGAGAGAGAGAGAGAGAGAGAGTCTTAGGTGTAATCTTGACTACCAACTGGAGCAAGATAAAAGTACCTCTCAAATGGCCACCACCAGGGTTTCGCCTCCTGAACAACACAGTACTCGCGTGATACCTCCTCACTGTACCTTATTGTCCTGGTTGTCCACTTGGAACTTTAAAATGATTCCATATAGTCTTCTACTCAAAGGGTTACGAATAAGTTTTCCTGTTATTCGAGACCTTTTATTTGTATGTAAGTTTTGTTTCTGTACACCATTAACGCTGAAGATATAGGTCGATTGCTGTAAAGATCCCTGAAGATACAGCCTGGAAGAGAGAGGTACCATCTTTGTACCATGACATGAAGATAAGGTGATGTCACTGTGTGTTATAAATGATTCTTATACAATTATCGGCTACTTCCAGGCCCTTTTGTGGGTCGTGTACTCTACTCTACGGTTTTCACTTCCCCAACCGTAAAGTTAGATACTCATTCGTAAGTGGGTGGACTAGGGGTTGTTCCAGGCACAAACTAGAGTCTTATAGGACAGGCGGCAGTCACTGTATACATTCTGGATTGACCTATTTTATGATCAATATTCATCCTAAAGATTATTATTTTCTGGTTTTCATTATTACATTTATCAGCAATATTGGTATTTTATTATAACTAATGTAATTATTAGAATGATTTAATTTTCCTGATACAGAAACTCATTCACTCGCCACAGCTGACCCCTCGCGGGCCATTACATGACCATTCTCGCATACTAATATCAACTTACCATGAGTCGCGACGAGTCAGTTTTATAATTCTTAGAGGAGCGTCAGACACGCCCTCAAGCACCGTGAACCAAATACACCAATAGGAGGCAATGACCTAAAACACCGCCACCCGGAGAATGGCTCAGTAATTACAGCCAAGTTAAGTATGTTTCCACAGTCCCTGTTATTAAGTTGTCAACACGAGGTAATTACTGTCCTCGCCGTGGGTGACTGACCGTAGTGACTACAAGTTGTGTTTCCTCTGAATAATGCCCATATATGTATATGTATGTGTGTGTGTGTGTGTGTGTGTGTGTGTGTGTGTGTGTGTGTGTAATAATAATAATAATAATAATAATAATAATAATAATAATAGTAATAATAAATAACGGTTTATTGAAAGAGCATGGCAGCCGGAGGGCTGAAAATATACAGTTGCATAATTGGGGAATGGATCTCTTGATTGACAAATATTTATACTAATAACATATGGGATACAAATATGATATAATTGTAATAACTAGGTAGAGAGAAGGCTATACTGCAGGGCATTTCAACATTGTGACAGTGCAAAAAGGTAAGATTGACTGGAAGTGAATACACTGGTTGATTACTAGTTATTGATAATTTTTACAATGGTTGGGACTGGGCTGTTCTTATAGCTATCAGTACGTGCTCGTATGGCCTGGATGCGGTTGTGTTGTCGAACAGCAATTCTCTGACTATGGATCTTGGGTGGTAGTAGAAGCCGGTGTCGAGGATGGTGCAGAAGCTTCACACCAAATTTGCAGATGTGGTCGTGGTGATGGTCAGAAAGAGCCGAGAGGGTCAGTGTGTTGAGCGCTGTGGCATTTAGGGAGGAAGATTAGGCAGGGGAGGCACAGGTGAGCTTGGGAAGTATGAATGTTGAGTAAACACTGAGGAGCTCGGGCGCAGGAACTCCGAGGGACTTGAGTCAGCGGAGGAGGTGGAGACAGAAACTGGAGGATTTGACGACTTAACTGACGTATGTTTTCCAATTTAGTTTGTTATCTACAGTGACACCGAGGAGCTTAGTGGACTCTACAACCTGGAGTGTTTTGGGGGCTAAAGTAATGGAAGAGGGTGGGATATCGTCGGAGGAGAGGTTGATGTGCATATCCATTATCCATGGTCTTGGTATGGTTGATGGTGACGTGGTTGTTGGTGGCCCAATTTTGGAGACTGTTCAATAAATCGGGAGCCGAATTGTTGGTACTGATCCCAATGGTGGAGTCGTCGACATATTTCCAGCGAGCGGGGGTTTCTTTTAGGCCATCATTGATAAGCATAAGGAAGCAGAGCGGTCCCATCTTGGTGTCTTGGGAGACGCCACAGGTGAGTGACTGAAAAGTGAAGACAGCCCCTCGGAAGAGCGCGCGCGCGTGCGTGCGTGTGTGTGTGTGTGTGTGTGTGTGTGTGTGTGTGTGTGTGTGTGTGTGTGTGTGTGTGCGTGTGCGTGTGGGAGTAAACTCCGAACGATAAAACTGTTGTGGAGCCCCGCAACAGGCAGACATGCTTATAGAGCTCCAGTAAGACCCCAACGGTGGAATAGGCGGAAGAGGTGACCAACATGGCAACCCAACGACGATACCGGTGGATGAAGGCAATGCAAGATGGACAGGCAACTAAGGCGAAAAACAACAAACTGGGCTATCGGCAGTCCATTGCAACTTCCCCTCTCTTCAGTCGTTGCAACTACTTGCACCACTGGATCAAGAAAATGGAGAGCCAGGAAGTATGGTTGCAGCCTGAGCTCCTGCCTCACCACATAAATCAAATCACGTGTAGTCTTCATCCAGCTCATCATACTTCTAAACAACATCATCAAAACCCCTATACCCCGAAAAGTCCTGTAGCGACAGACGAGTGGCGACGTTGACACGCAGAGATGACTGCTGGGAGTCTCTAGTCCCAACCCTGCACATGGGCGTAGTACTTTGTTATTTTTTTTACTGTCTACGTAACTTATTTTTAACATTCGCCTGTAACACCACATCTCAAAGGCCTTTGACCTCTTTCTGGTATCTGCTGAAACTTTCCACACGTCTTACCCATACAACAGTATTTGCCATATAAAAAAAAAATTAGAATCCAACAAACTCCCGAAAATATTACTTAATGCAGCCGATTTATCCCACAAAATACCACAATCGTAGCATTAGTGAACAGTACTTTATCCAGTAAGAATCAGTGTTCGAAATAGGGCAGTGTATTTATGGGGGTCATCACTCTCGACAGTGGCGGGGGCAAGAGGAGCGAGGCCTTACAGCTGTAAGCCGCTGCAGGAAATTTTTTTGAAATCTGACCGATATGAGGTCATATGAAGTGGATATTAGAACATATTGTAAGGTTCTAAGGTTCGGGATACAGTATTTCCAATATCATGGACATTTTTTTTTTATTCAACATATATGATAACAATGTGTGTCACCTTCAAACTCTCCCCTGAATCGCGAGCTCTAGCGGAGTATTGTACTTTGTAGTGAAGGTCACACTGTCACGGCAGTGCTGTGTGGTACGCACAAAATTTGTGAATTAATATATGTGCTTGCCAAGTTCAGGAACAAAGAGTCATACTCTTAGTCTTAAAAAGGTTTCGTTTTTATTCACTTTCTCAATGATCACATACATAAGATATATATTTCCTTCGTAATAATAATAATCAGCACATCTTATTTGAGGTTGGTCTTTTTGGGACCCACGGTGGGTCCTCCTGAATAGTCTATTTCCATGGGTCTTAAGTGTATTTGGGGGGTCAAATCCCCCCCCAACCCCCTGCATTTCGAACACTGGTAAGAATCCTATCAGTAGTAGAAGTGTCCCAGCTAGAGAGTGTATCAGGCGTTCTGTGATCTCTTATTCTGAGGGAGTTGGAGCTCAGACGTGAGTGAGAGGACAACACCACCTGGAGGGTGTCAAGGGGTGGTGGTGATAGTGGTAGTACTTTCATCTTGCTACAGTTTCCAGGCACCAGAAGTTTTATGTTAAGTCTTCCATTTATCTCTCCCTCTCTCTCTTTGTAGTTTCTTAATGTGTAGGGGGAGAAATTGCAATAGGTGAATTATTATTAACAGCGGACGAGTGTTATTTATTTCATAAGCTGAAGATATTCCCTCGCTGTTTTCTTTGAAACTGGCATCAGAGATGACAGTCCTTTTCTCCTTTCAAGTTTGTGACGTCATTGAAAGCACTGTGAACCTTAAGATGTATTTAAGCTGGTGCTTTCCCTCGGTGAGCATGAGTCCTGACTCTCCTCCTCACGACAATGTCTATCAAGGTCTAACATGTGGTTTGATGTTAAAAAGTTAGCGTTAAATATGCAAAAAATGGAAGAGAAAAAAAAAAGGGAATGTTTAGATTCAGTGACACACACACACACACACACACACACACACACACACACACATAGTTAAGATTTTCTCATTAAGCATGAAGAAGAATATAGACCTCATAACTTTCCCAGGTTGTGGTTGTATTTGCTGTTGTGGCGGTCGTGGTGGCTGGCCCCCAGTATACCCCCTACGGCGCCCCCCCTCCACCCACTAACTACGGCGCCCAACCTGCTGAGGTGAGTAATGCCTATCTGTCTGTGTCACCACCCTCAAGTGGCTGACACCAACATAATAATAACATGCATGTGTAACAGATCAACCTGGCTGTGGCGGCTCTTGTGAGACAGTATACAGTATATATATGAATACTGTCTATATATTTATATATATATATATATATATATATATATATATATATATATATATATATATATATATATATATATATATATATATATATATATATATATATATATATATATATATAGTATTATTGTTGTTATTACAGGCTCCTGCCCAGTATAACTTCAACTTGGCCGTGAAGGACGACTACTCTGGTAACGACTTTGGTCACCAGGAGTCCCGTGACGGCTACGACACCCAGGGCTCCTACTACGTGCTGCTTCCCGACGGTCGTCTTCAGAAGGTGGACTACACTGTCAACGGCGACTCCGGCTACGTGGCCGAGGTGACCTACGAGGGTGAGGCTCAGTACCCTGCAGCCCAGCCCTCTTACAACCCAGCTCCTGCTCCTGCCTACGGTTGATTCAGCAAATGCATATTGATATAAACTTATGCTAATAGTTACTGACGATTATACAATAAAAGTTACAAAAGTATTTTTTAATGTCTAGTCTTCCTGCTTCTCCCTTCGCCTGATCATCTCTGTGTTTAGTTTTCGATGAATCACAAGCTGACAACTTCGCCATTTAAGCTGGAGTGACCAAGGAATCTACTGCCGCTATTAATCTCTTTATATTACATAACAGACTTATCATCGGGAAGAAGTACTTTTGGTATAAAATCTTGCAAGGAAAACACCAATGTTATTTCAACTAATTTCCTCAAACCTCTTCTGATTCTCTATTTATTTTTTTCTTTAAACAGAGAGACGTGACTTACTCTTCACAATGACATCACTGACATTGTTGATTGTGTATGCATGAACCTTACAAAACAATACCAGGAACAAGAAGATATACTGCACAGTATCTTCCTTAAATCATTTCAGTTATTGTCTCCTTCCTTGCTAAAATAATTAAATTGTTTAGTGACGTCGTCCAAAGACACAAGTTGTAAACACCTTAAGCGAAGCTACAGCAGGTGTTACATGTCCAGGGTGACGTTTACATTACAACTGCCATTCAACAACTAAGGTCTTAAAGCACGTAACAAGAATAGTAATTTCGTTGGTCCATTAACTCTTTACATTTATGAGATATATATTTCCCGATTAATGTGCAGGTAACCCAGGTAAAATTTCAGCATTTCAGACCTCAGATCTTGGCAGCCAAATTATCCAAAATCTTTTGTGTTCCACGTAGAGTAATATACAACCCCGAGATGGCAGTTGTATAGTGTTTGAAGCTGACTACAACTTCCCTGAAAGACCATGGTTGTTGAGGCACAGAAATACACTCTCACAATAATAAATTCAATACAACAGTGTGTACAAAAAGTAAGAAATGTGTTCTGATAAATTTATTAAAGTAGTCAAAAGTGACGTTGAATTTTCTCCTTAATGAAACAATCTTACTCCTTCTATCTCCTTCCCTCACGTTCTACCTCGTTTGGGATTCTAATGTGATATTTTACCTGTAGTACAAAACTTAACTGATCACTAGTTATCACACACAATGAAAACTCCTCCCTCCTCTCACCTCCGTCTCCAATTTAAAATACAGTGATCTTCTCCCTTGTCTCACCGGCGTCTCCAAGTTAGAATACAGTGAACTCCTCCCTCCTTTCATACCTGCGTCTCAAAGTAAAAATGGACGACTGTCACTTCAAGAATGCTCTACTGTATATCAGTAATTTAGCACGCATGATGCACAGGAATTGATTGTGTAATTATAATTCTCCTGACTCCTCACTGCAAATTGCACAAGTGAAAGTAGTAAGGAGTGTTGCAAGTGATCATCTTTACTTATAAAACGTCTCAAAAGTTAGGTTAGATTACGTTTTGTTAGGTTAAGTTGAGCTGAGTTGGGGCAGGTTAGGTTGGGGTTGACTTATTTAGGTTAGTTTGGGTTGGGTTAGGTTGAATTAGGTTAGGTTAGGTTAGGCATTGTAAGGTTAGGTTAGGTTAGGCTTAGTTAGGTTAGGATAGGTTAGGTTGCTTAAGGCAAATATAAAGAACTGTATTGGTGGGTTTAAAGTTAAGAGAAATGGTGACTAGATTAGCAGGTTTCTTCGTGACCAAAGTCATTGCCGGAGGAGTCATCACTTACTTGCCAGTTGAAGTTGTACTGAGCAAGAGCTTGAAATAATAACAATTGAATGTGTATATTTATTGTGTCTCATTAGAGCTGCTACAGGCAGGTTGACCAGTTAAACATGCATGCTAATATTCTGGCGTCAGCCACTTGAGGGTAGTGACACAGACAGATCAGCCAGTGACTACATCAGAGTTGAGTTGTGTATGATGGATTAAACCAACACACTTGTCTACAGCCCCGCCATAATAGATGTGTGTTGGCTCACTATTAATAATGATTTAAAAATCTTCATATACGTTTAGTAATGAGCTAAGTCTCCTACCATTGGTGTTAGTGGTAAGGTCACCTAATTTCTTGTGTCAAGTGTTCAGGTCACCAATTTGGACAGTGGGTTCAGTATATACGAAGTCCGGGAGATCTGTTACATTAGACATGTAACAGATGTTTTGGCTTAAGGACCAGAAGGATTTACTAGAGGAAGAATTAGTCAGGACAGCGGTAGGAGTAATCCAAGTGGCAAATTGGAGGAGTATTCCATTTTTTTTATTGTTGTTTACGTTTATTTGGTGGTGGGTAAGCTGGTTGGGGGTGGCGGGCGAGATACTTGATGGGTGGCCTGGCGCGGACCTAACACCCAGCCTGCTGAGCTCAGTGATTAACTAGTGATCTAAATGACTGGTCGGTTGGACCATTGCCCTGATTTCCGCCTGGTCTCGCGTACAAGTGCACACGTGGTGTGAGACTATGCGACCAGTAATTTAGCATTTACTGTGACTGGACGCACCAGATGCTGAGTACGACATGGAACGCCCAGGGCATCGTCATTAACACCGAAGTATTGAGAAAAATACAGACTACAAGTGTGAGTGGTGACGAGTTTGTTGATTCGTTAGTTGAGTGGCGAAGGCTTTAGTTGGGTGCACAGGAAAACGTAGAGGACTCATATTTAGATAATCCCAATTCTACCGAGCAACCTTGTTGTTAAGGAGTGACCTGATTACCCTCACCCCAGTCTGACCGGAGTCACGTATACATGGACACAATATTAATGTAAAAAACATATCGATTATTATTCGACCTTCAACTTATCACTTAACAATGCAGTGTTCTCCAATATCCCTATAATGTATACGATGTACTTGTTGTAGATATAAAGTTTGTCTCGCCAAACAAAATTTTTAGTAATGTTGAAGAAAACATTACCACCACATCATTTCTGTCATTTGTTCAAGGATTTTGGAAAACGGCAAATTGCAATGCAATAATTTTATTTACATATTTAAGTATATTATCCGGTATATTGAAATAAATAATATCACTTAAAAAATCCTTAGGTGTAGCGAGGAGCTGGTGTGTAGGAAGACTGGTATGTAGGGAACTGGGCATCGCCCTCGTAGGTCACCTCGGCCACGTAACCGGAGTCGCCATTAACAGTGTAGGTGACCCTTTGCAGGCGACCGTCGGGAAGCAGCACGTAGTAGGAGCCCTGGGTGTTGTCGCCGTCACGGGACTCTTCGTGACCGAAGTCATTGCCGGAGGGGTCATCTTTCACTTGCCAGTTGAAGTTGTACTGAGCAGGAATCTGCAACAACAATAATGAAAGGTGTATATTTACTCTCTCCCATAATAGTCACCACAGCCAGGTTGACCAGTTATACACATGTTAATATTATACTGGTGTCAGCCACTATAGTTTGTTGGGGGTGTTGACACAGACAGGTGGCACTACTCACGTCAGAACCTGGGGAGCCATAGTACTGTCTGGGGTGATTCTGAGGGCGCGCCACTGCCATCGTCACCACACATAGCACCAGCACGAACTGTGAAAGATTGTTCATTATTATTATCTTCAATTATTGATAGTTCATGTCGAGGAAGTTTAGAATTTTTAGAATTGTATGATATATTTCTAATCGTTTATAGCCGAAGTAAAATCTTTATATTCCACGGTTAAACAAGGTTTACTGTATATTAACGGTCATTACGTTGGTTCATGACTGTCATTATACCTTAAGAGACATATTTGTTGATATGTGAGGAAGAAGACTCAGACTGATGATCTTCGAGGTGTAACACCATCTTATATACTGGGGCCTCAGTCAACACCTGTGACGTCATAACCTTGAAGTGGGAGTTATGTTGGTGACTGTGGAGAAATTTTCTTTGATGATAATTTTTTTTTGTAAATGGGTCGAGTTAAATTTATTTATTTTATAGTTTATGTAAAGCAAAAATCGATATATGAGGTGAATAGACCTGAAGATTCTGAAGCATAAGGGAAGTCTATAAGGAGTAGAACTTCGTGAGTTATTTTTATATCTCATATTATCCCGTGGACAGTGAGAGTTACTAATATGAAAAAGATATCACCTCACTATGGTTGTCTGAGGTGAGTCAAGTTATTATTACAAGTACTTTACACGGAGGGTTTGTGTGATTAACAAGACAGAAAGACAGACAGGTAGACAGAATGACAAGCCGACACAGACAGACAGACAGATAGACAGGTAGACGAAATACAGGCAATTTGTCACCTTTAGTTTCTCTGTTCATTTGACACTAATGATGCTTTGTAAGGTCTCCTGTACACATACACATAAACATTCTGTTAATATCTCGTATACACAAGACGACCCACTATCATTGTCTCCAGTATCTTTTCCAAATATAAAGAAGTATTTAATGTGGTCTGGAAACTGATAGACCACCATTAATGCTTTACAGGGATTCCTAACACGGGGGTAAATTACCTTAAGTGTAGCAGTTTGGATATTTCCACGGTATAATGAAAAAAAAATCTCTTTCGGTTAGAACTTTATGAACAAATTATAGAAGAGAACCACTTTACAATATGTTTTTATCTGTAAGTTATTTTGCTGAACACGAATCTACAGTGACGTTCAAGTTCCCGGTCGCGACATATTGACTTGTTTGCATTATGTATGTGATTGGTGTAAATAAGTTGAAACAAACCAAATCCACCTCCAATACAAGAATGGATATATATTATCTTAGGTTAAGTTAAATTAGGTTAGATTAGGTAGGTTTGGTTAGGTAAGGTATATTGAAAGGTCACTGGGTGGTGATCGGTCGCTTAGCGTTTTGTGGGTTGTTATAAAGCATACGTCAACATAATGAAGCGCCCACATGGTGTCCTCGGTGAAGGAACGTATATTAAAAAAAAAAAAAAAAAAATGGAAATTCGCCAAAATAAAATTTAGGATAATTGGAATTCCTCCACCTTGTTTTGGATATTCTTGAGGTAAGATACAGGTTTCCTTCTATGGGAAAGTTTCGTAAAGTTGCTGGTACTTAGTGGATAATATCTAACAGTACTACCTAATTTTCATACAAATATTATGTAAATAAGTATAATAATACAACTTGAATTACATTATGAATATCATGTAACTGTGAGATAGTATCAGTGTGTGTTAATGTACTTTTGTAAAATATTTTGCTGGTTTGCTAACATTTAGTGCAGCCAGTCAGTCACCCATTAAAGCTAGCAGTAGGTGCGTCGTCACATTTAGTGGAATGATACAGCTGGTCGGTGCATTAGTTTAGCGTTAGATATTTAATATGTTGGAACTTAAAAGATTACCAAGTGTTTGTCAAAAACTGGTAGGCTGGCGTGTCTGTGACAAGACAGCAATAATTATACATGATTAACTGTCACAAATACTGGTGACAAGGCAAGAATTATAAGCAGTATGTGTACATCCGGTAATATCAAGGTGGTGGGCAAAATTATGAAATTAGAGTCAACATGACAATAATTAATTAGATATGAGATGGCGTTGCCGCCAAACAATTTTTGTCAGACAAAAGTAAAGAAATTATCTATGACTCAGATGAAGTGTGTTGTGCTCTATCAGTCAACAAACTATGAATTTTTTTGTTAGTAGTGTATGTAAATTATGTATGCTGGATTATATATTATGTATGTATATTATGTATGTGCTCCATTTATGTATTATTTATTCAGCCTAGCTAGCAGTGTGTGGCAATGTATTTAAGATATCCCACATGCTTAATTAATGTGCCTGGCGACGTATGGAAGCTGCTAATGTCTCACTTGCCATACGTCGTCTATAGCAGTTGACAAGCAGCCAGGTTGAGGAGAGCACTACTTCCCTCTGTGTACATATCTCTTATCCAGTAAATCGAACCTACAAAATCTATACAGGTCTTTATGTTCTCTCCTGTATATTGAACTTATTATCCAGAACCTAACATGGCGCAGTGCGTAGTTTTACTGGATAATTACGAGTGACAGTGCAAAGTTTGTGGAAAGCCGGCTTATGGACCCTCGCCCTGCGTCAACCAACCGCCTCCCGCTATCCCTCCTCGAGGAATTTAGCAACTTTGAGCAGTGTCAGTGACAGTGATTTTCTGTGAAGTGTTTAGTGCATTGTGTGTTTCGTGCCATTCATGTGTGACCTTGTTCTAAAGGATTCTCAAGGTATACGGCATGTTCTGGGCATTTGTAAGGAGTAGACTTGAGTACACCTCCCCTCACGAAGTCTGGAGGGTGACTGACGCTCCTCGCCGTCTCCACACCCCCTCACAGCTCGAGGCGAGACGCTCTCCCTGGCCGGGACACACATACACACATACATGTACTAACATTCTCTGACCGCGCGGCTCCCCTATATATATTTTATATATATAACCTACTTATCTGTGTATTTAATTAATTTTTTTGTCTGAAATCTTGTTGATACGACGGGCTGACCGGTCAACACTGATTTAAGACACAGTACACAGATGAAGTAGTTATGTCTCGTGCCTTACGTAGCCGTGGAGCCAGCGCCGCCCGGATGAGTGAGGCGGATGATAGCCCCGCAGAGATGGATGACATGGCCGACCACGACGCTCCAGCTCCCACAACATCGCGCAGCCCTTCACCTCAATATTCAGCGTTGTCTCCAGAGATAATTGCTTTACTGAAGTTTATGAGAGATGAAAGGCGCGAGGATGAAGCTAGCAGACGTGTGGCGGATGAACACAGAAGGCAAGCAGAGGCAGAACGAGACCACCAACGGAGATTGGAAGACAGTGCACGGTTTGAAGCCTTGATATCTCGCCTCACTGTTAACCAAGCCCCTGGCTCTAACACTGCCTCGGTACTGACTGGTTCAGCTACCTCATCAATGCTTCCTTCACGCCCCCCAGCCCCACCTAAAGCAGCTGCTCAAACACCGCCCATCTTGAAGCCTGATGTGACTTTCCAGACTTTTCGTGAATGGCGGCGACGGTGGACTGATTATTCTACAATGGTGGATCTCCAGAGTTTGTCACAGCCTAAACAACTCATCCAGCTGCGTATGTGCCTGTCCTTGGAAATTCAGCGTGTCTTAGAACACACGTTGCAGGTACCCCCAACCTCTTCGCTGTCTGTAGAGGAGGTACTGGACATTCTACAACGGCACATCAAAGGACAGCAGAATGAAGCTCTGCGCAGGAGGGAATTGTTTAGCTGCAGACAGATGGAGGGTGAGTCTTTTGACGCCTTTTATGTACGTCTTAAGAGAGCCTCGGAAGAGGTAGATATATGTCTAGGCCACCACCAGCAGTGCGAGGAGACCCAGTTGAACAGGTGATCCTGATGGGTGTTAAGGACAAGGAACTTGTCCAACGCTTCACCTCCCTCGACTCTTCCTCTTCTCTCAAGGATGTGTTGACGATATGTCGCTCCTATGAGGCTGCCAGGTGTGCCACCTCTGCCATCCGAGCTCCCCCTACAGCTGTACGCGCTGTGTCCCGGTACAAGAAGGACAAGAAGTCTGCTCCTACGCCTTCGCCCACCACGTCCACGCCCGGCTCATTTTGTAACAACTGTGGTAAGCAGCACGGAACACAGGTGTGTCCTGCTGCTCAGTCTACCTGCAACAGTTGTGACCGTAAGGGCCACTGGTCACTCACAGTACGGTGCCCAGCCAAACGCGTCCAGTGCAATGTGTGCGGTCGTCTGGGCCACTATGACAAGTGTTGCCCTCCCCACAAACCCAAGGGACAGCGTCGGCGGAAGCTTCAGCGCCCTTCTACCGGTGAGGGCCGCCCACAGTCGCCAAATCAGAGGCACGACGACCCTGGACAAAGCCCGACCCATATTAGGAGGGTGTACTCCTCGCATCCCAGGACCAAAGTCCCCCAGTACATCAGCGTCATCGTGACCTACGGCGGTGTATCATCCCGTCTTCAGATGTTGCCCGACACCGGCGCTGATGCTACAGTCATCGGTCCCCAGCATTTGCAATGCTTGGGGCTCTCTCCAAGCGATCTAGGACCGCCTCCCAAGGACCTCTGCGTCACGGCAGATGGTTCACAGATGGCCCCAGCCCTGGGTTCACTCTATGCACATGTCACCTTTGGCAACAGGTCGTGTCAGGCCTGGATTGACGTGCATAATGGTGTCCCGACTTCTTTGCTGTCCTACAGACATTGCCAAGAGTTGTCCATCATCTCCCAGGACTTCCCAACACCGATTCTCGAGGTAAAATACGCCAACAGGGTGCACGAAGGGAGCAGCAACTACCCTGCTGCCGCCCTACCCCTACCTCTGGCCAGTGACACCTCTCCTTCGGTAGTTGTCCCTGCTGCTTCAAGTCTCCATCCCTTGGCTCGCCTCCACGACAGTCACTGTGGAGCCGAGGCCACCAAACGACGTGCAAGACAGACTGTGTTCCGGCCTGGCATCGACCCCGACATCTCCAATGCTGTCCAGGTGTGTAAGCCCCGCCACGTATTACAACCCAGCCAGCAGCAGGAACCCTTCATGAGTGACGACAACCCCACCCGCCCCTTTGAGTCTGTGTCGGCCGACTTTTTCTGTGTGTCAGGAAAGTCCTTCCTTGTTATCGTCGACCGTCTCTCTGGTTGGCCGGTTGTCATCAAGTGCGGTAATGACACGACGTCTGCCGCCACCATCAGCAAGTTCCGCCACTACTTCCGTGACGTGGGCGTTCCTGTACGCCTGCGAACCGACGGAGGGCCTCAGTTCACAAGCCGGGACTTTGCTGTGTTCCTTGACCGATGGGGAGTCCGGCATGTGTTGTCATCGCCCCATTACCCGCAGTCCAACGGCCACGCTGAGGCTGCTGTCAAATCCCTGAAGCACCTCATCCTTAAGGTGGCCCCTTCTGGGAACATTGACTGCGAGGCCTTCGACCGGGGTCTTCTTGAACTCCGCAACACACCTAACTACACCGGACGCTCCCCTGCCCAGGTTTTGTATGGATGGACGCCCCCTTCGTTCTTGTGTCCCTGCTCACCCTCAATCCTTCTCCAAGGAGTGGCAGGCCAAGACAGAGGATTGTGATCGCCGAGCCGCCGAACGTGTTCAGGACGTCGTCGCCCGCTACAACGACCACGCCCGTTCTCTCCCCAGGTTGAGTGTCGGCACCCAAGTCCGTGTTCAGGACCCGACCTCCCTACGTTGGGACAAAGTAGGCGTAGTCATGGGTCTCGGTAGGTCACGGGACTACCAGGTGCGGTTACCCAGTGGTCGTGTGTGGTGGAGGAACCGCCGTTTTCTCCGCCCCGTAACAATGCCTTCTGCTGACCCCGCCACCAGTGTTGAGTCCCATACCCTTCCCAGTGATGAAGTCCCTCGACGCTCAGAACGGATCCAAAAGAAAAGGTCCGCTCAAGACTTTGCTATGAGCGTATAGGGGGGAGGGAGGTGTATGTATATTATGTATGCTGGATTATATATTATGTATGTATATTATGTATGTGCTCCATTTATGTATTATTTATTCAGCCTAGCTAGCAGTGTGTGGCAATGTATTTAAGATATCCCACATGCTTAATTAATGTGCCTGGCGACGTATGGAAGCTGCTAATGTCTCACTTGCCATACGTCGTCTATAGCAGTTGACAAGCAGCCAGGTTGAGGAGAGCACTACTTCCCTCTGTGTACATATCTCTTATCCAGTAAATCGAACCTACAAAATCTATACAGGTGTTTGTGTTCGCTCCTGTATATTGAACTTATTATCCAGAACCTAACAAGTAGATCAACAGTAGTACAGTATAAGTTTTCTCATTGTAACATTTGCTGGTCTCAGATATTGTTCTGCGTTTCAATTTACAGATGAAATTTTATATGAAAAGGACTTAACAACGCCAAATTGATATTGCAGTAATATCTATTTTTGTACTAAAATAGTTTACCCACATTTTGACAGCCACCACATATACTGTAGTTATTCTTCGGTTATGGAAGTGGTGGTCATGTAGGACAATTGGTCAGGATGGACGTGAAAAATAGGGTAACGTGAACACAAAACTGACGTCACCTCCATCATTTTCGGCTCGGAAAGTGTTGTATTACCATTCAACTTTCAACCTATCTTTTAGCATTGCAGTGATCTCCAGTATACTAAGATATGGCCCTACATGTTGCAGATATATAGTTTGTCTCACCAAACAAAGTTTTAATATTGTTCATGAAACATTAAAAAAATATATAATTTCTTCCTCTTGTCTAAGGATTTGGAGAAAAAAATCAATATATATGTTTTTTTTCCATATATTAGTTGGTTATGTTACAATAAATAGTATCACTTAAAGAATCTTTAGGCGTAGCGAGGAGCTGGGGTGTAGGAGGACTGGTATGTAGGGAACTGGGCCTCACCCTCGTAGGTCACCTCGGCCACATAGCCTGAGTTGCCGTCGACAGTGTAGGTGACCCTCTGCAGGCGGCCGTCGGGAAGCAGCACGTAGTAGGAGCCCTGGGTGTTGTCGCCGTCACGGGACTCTTCGTGACCAAAGTCATTGCCGGAGGGGTCATCTTTCACTTGCCAGTTGAAGTTGTACTGAGCAGGAATCTGCAACAACAATAATGAAAGGTGTATATTTACTGTCTCACTTGAGCCACCACGGCCAGGTTGATCTGTTTTACATGAAGCTTAATATTGTGTTGGTGTCCGCCACAAGTGTTTAGAGGGTTGTGACACAGACAGGTGGCGCTACTCACGTCTGGACCTGTGGAGCTATAGTACTCATTTGGGCGATTTTGGGGGCGCGCCACTGTCATCGTTGCAGCACACAACACAAGCACAAACTGCGAAGGTTTATAAGATTATTGTTTTTTTTTATTGATATTTCATGCAGGGGAAGTTCTGACATTTTAGGGTTGAACTCGTATGATATATTTTCAATAGTTTAAGGCTTAAGTATTAACTTTATATTCCACAGATAAACAAGGATTATATATTAATTAATGACGGTGATTCATGACTGTCATGATACCTTAAGAGACATGTTTGTTGTTTTGTGAGGAAGAAGACCCAGAATGATGATCATCGAGGTGTAACACCATCTTATATACTCCGGGCCTCAGTCAACACATGTGACGTAATAACCTTGACAGAGAAGAGTTACGTTTGATAGTGCCGAGACATTTCATGTAATGTAAATAATTGTTCTAAATTAGCGAGTGCAAAATTGTGCTTGTGATTTTGAATTCCACAGTTATTCAGCAATTTTTATATTATGAAAAACTTGATGTGGACAGGAAAGCACAAGGCCGAAGTAGTTGAGGAGTCGATGAGAGAGAAAACAGCAGAGGGAAGGTGTTTATCGAGCAGAACAGTGAGACATTTAAGTGTAAACCATACACCTATCACGACTAAACATTATACATGATGAAATTATTCCAGTGATGTAACTCGTTCAACTAATTGTGAGTTTATTGATCTTGGAATACTGTATTTAATGTTTTCCAGGACGAGTATTTTTAAGGACACCTTTGCCTCGCTTACAGATGCTCACACCTCCTCATTAACCTTCAGGGTCAGTTTTTATGGTAACTTCTTCCCTTTATATACGAAAGTTCGTACATTCTACTAGAGGTGCGGCGGCCGAGTGAAGGCATTACTCGCTTCCCGTCCTAAGGGTTGCTTGTTGGCCCAAATGGTGCTCTCACAATACTTCCATCTGTAAAGGGATTTTATAATTAGGAAAATGAAGATAGTTGAGCTCATTGTCGGCCAAAATACCTCCTGTTCACCTCGCATACTGTACAGTGAACGATACCCACCGTTGGGCTTGTGAGACTATGCCATGTGTAAGATAATCTGAATTATTCTGACATCAAGTAAAACGTGTCATGGTATTGTGATCCTTCGGCCACCAAGTCTTAGGTAACGTACGAGGAATTAGTTTAATGAATAATACCCACTACGCTACTAGAGAATGGAAAAAAAAATATGTTTATTAGATTTTCTTCTGAACGAATCAATTATATTCGAAGATAAAGAGTTGAAAACATTCAAGATTGAAGAGCTAAGTTGACACATAACAGGCTAATACCCGTACGTCTAGGATGAAAGAGCTTAGTAGAGGACGATGAGGCAGAAACACCTGTGACTGAAACGTCCTGACATGGTAATTACATATGAGACTCTACATAATAACGGTTTACATCTGAAAGTGTTCTGAAGGTCAGAGATTAACTGGAAAGGTCAGAGGTCATGGGCTGATAGTTCTCGTATTAAAGATACCTTAAGACTGGATGGTTGCATCCCTTATTACCCTTACTCATAATGTTCACTTTTACACCTCTCTGTGCAGAGTGCAGGCATGTGCGCGCCCAACCTGGGGTACATACTCGACCCGGGGTACACGTACTTTTGTCGAACTTTTGACCAATTTCTGAAACCTCCGCGGCTGCGTATGTTTAATGCGCATGTTAGCCACACCGAGGTGAGGCTGGGTGAATGGGCTCCCAGAGAAACACCAGTAACTCCGGTGTCCCGCTCACTTTTACACATGTGTAGTGCAGGCGGTTACCCGCCCCACTTGGGGTACATTACCGACCCGGGTTACACATACATATGTTCACTACATAATGTACTGATGTCTCCTGAATACATTGCTGTGTGTCTTCCTGTTAGTTACATAAGAACATAAGAATGGAGGAAACTGCAGCGGCCCTATTGGCCCATACTGGGCAGTCCCGTTTACACCCAACCCCTATTGCTCATATAAGCATCCAACCTATGTTTGAAGCTATTCAGCGTATTCGAGACTTTTGACCAATTTCTGAAACCTCCGCGGCTCGCGTGTGTTTATCATGTTAGCCACACCGAGGTGAGGCTGGGTGAATGGCTCCCAAGAAGCACCAATGAGTGCTTAATGGGATACTGAAATCTCCTGGTGGAACAGAGAGCAGAGTAACTGTTCGTTTCACAGAGGACGGTTATGAGTCTCTGTTCATGAATTATAGGTGTATATGGATAATAACCAAATCCTGGGATAGGGTCAACGGCCCATCGTGGTTACAACATAAGAACTATAAGAATGGAGGAAACTGCAGCGGGCCTATTAAGCCCATACTGGGCAGTCCCGTTTAACCCCTATTGCTCATATAAGTAACTATGTTTGAAGCTATTCAGCGTATTCGAGTTAATGATGATATTTGGTAACTTGTTCCATTCATCCACTACTCTGTTTCAAACCAGTGTTTACCTATATCCCGCCTAAACCTAAATTTGTCTAATTTAAAACCATTGTTACGAGTTTGCTCCTGGTTGGATGGTTTGAGTACCTTTGTAATGTGTCCCCTTTGGTTAGCCCTGATTTCCCATTTATACACCTCTATCAAGTCGCCCCTCGTTCTCGCCTCTCTCGGGAGTGCAAATTAAGGTGCTTTAACCTGTCTCTATACTCAAGGTTCCTAGTGCTGGATTAGTCTTGCATTCTCCTCTGACTCTTTCCAACAGATCTATTATCCATTCTGTATCACAGACCAGAACTGCACTCAAAATCCAGGTGTGGTCTCACAGAGCAAGATACAGTTTTAGGATGACCTCGCTAGTCTTGTAACTAACACTCCTTTGTGTGAACCCAAATCACTTTATTTTCCCTGTTGACAAAAAAACATTGTTTACTTGGCTTAAGGTTCCTACTTACCATTACTCCAAATCTCTATAGTCAAAGCCATGGCATCGTTGTCATCTGGTATCTGGTTTCCCTGTACATCTCCATACTAAGTAATTTACATTTGTCACGCTGAATTTCATACGCCATTTTCAGACCACTGAAAAATTTGTTTAGATCTTCATTTAGTTTTGCTGAGTCTCGTCAGATTTAATACACGTCCTATTTTAGTGTCATCAGCAAATTTACTTGTATTCTCTATGCCGACTATCTATGTCGTTTATGTATATAATAAATAATAATGGTTCAAGTACTGAGCCTTGAGGCTCCACTTATGACGTTGCTCAATGGGACTAATACAGTTAATGCTCACCGCTGTTTCCCGTCCTGTAACCACCCCACTCTAAAATCCATTTAAGGATATTAACTTTGATACCATGAAGCTTCCACCTTTCTAATTATTCTTCGTGGGGACTCTGTCGAAGACTTTGCTAAAATCGAGATATACCACATCATAATTGTGCCCTCGTCACCGATTCAAAAACTGCAGTGAAAGAATGTTAATAGATTAGTTGAACAGAACGTCCACTTGTGAAGTACGCTGGAATCATTAGAGCAATCTGTGCTTCTCCAGGATTCGAATAGGTTTGAAATGATTGCTTCAATGCGGGCCCTACTATTGATGTTAGACTTATTGGTAGTTGAGGATAGTGATTTATCCCTTCTTGAAAATCGGTATTACATTAGCTATCCTCAGGATTCTGGTACTACACCTGTTTTAAGGACATGTTAAACAACTCTGCTAAGGACATAAAGCTCTTCCTTACATTCCTTTAATACTCTGGCAAATATCTCATCGGGACCAGGTGACTTATTCGGCTTTAGTTTGTCTATTGCTTACTAACATCGTTACTAGTCACTACTGTCTAAACAATTTGTTTCTTTCACTTCTCTAGAATAGAGTCGTTGCCTCGGTATCATCATTTTAAATTTTCGGTGGTGAAAACTGTTGAAAAATATTTATTCAAATTATTGTATTTCTCTGTCGTTATCAATGAAGCTCGCCCGGTGTCTGACGTATTGGTCTAATCTTTTCTCGTGTTTTAGTTTGATACACTTTGGTAGAATCGGGTTTGTCTTCGCCTCCTTGCTATCCTTACCTCACTATTCCTCTTTGGTTTCCTTATCTCAGTTTTAACCCTACTTCGCCAATACCCTATATAATAGTCCGGTAATTTCGCCGATTTATCCTTCTACCTATAGCCTTTCTTTGGAATGATGTTCTTTAAATAATTATTTATCCATTTAGGGTCATTGTTGTCTGATCTGAGTTTTTAGTATGGTATGTTCTGCATTTGTGCATTAAGTAACTCACTATTTAAATTATTAATTGGAACTCGGCAATCTCAAATCTAGTTATCAGGTAATTGTCATCTGTCAGGTTCACAGCCAAGCCGACACCTCCCCTCTCAACTGCACCTCTTTAAACTGTCAAAGTTCGCCCTTCTGAAATCTGGTCCTTTAGTGGAATTTTCCCACGTCTGCCTGAAAATCTAACTGGAATCTAATTTCTTTGTGATTTCTGTTAGATTTTCAGGGCGGCGTCGTTTCAGACTGGACGGACGGCTGGCTAATGTGACTGTTCGACTGACAACTGGCAAGATTGCCGATTCTGACTATTTAAGCCAGTGAGGACCTTTAATGCACAAAGTGAAACACCATGCGCAGATCAGGCTGGCTGACTTTAAACTGGATAAATAATTATTTAAGGCATCATTAACCAAACATAGATGAAGAAAGGACAAATCGTGAAAGAATACCTCATATATATAGGTATTGGTAATTACTTCGAATAAACAGAAAAAGTGGTAAAGTAACAGATTACCAATATCGGCTTTCGCGACAGTTGCTGGTCGAACAAACGCGACAGAAAATAGTAATAGTGAATAAATATTTTTCAACGGATTTTCACCACCATGACAATTTCAGTGGCGTGCTGGGGCTGATGACGAACAGCATAACGATGGCAATAAAATGAACAAACTAAAGCTGTCCCGACTCTACCAAGTGAAAAATAATAAATACATCGCCGTA